GGTGCTGTAGTCCGGAAGGGGCTGACATTCTGCATCGTCAATCAATAACAATCAAACATATCAATAATGCAGCGTTGCAACACCAGTTGCAGTATACAAATCTCAACGGATTTTGTTTGCTGTCTAAGCAACACTGGGAAGAAACCCATGTCGTCCATTCATCAAACAGCTACATGTCTCACGAGTTTGTTTTTACTCCATGTGTGCCATGGTCAAACCATGGCACACACACACACACAGATACACACACACACATACATAATAATAATAAATATATATATATATATATTTAAAATGTAAATAATCCCGTGTCTCGTGGTCATAGCCATGGCTTGATCCCCCAGCATTCAGGTGCCAAGGATCGATCTGCCACTACCCACCAGTCACTGAAGTCGGCGGACGCCAGCAACACGGGGTAGACCGTATGGACGAATCCTTTGTCCAAGCCCGAGTGGTTCAGGGCCAAACCTCAGCTGCACTTTTGTACCCTCCAAGAGTAGGACAATCCCAAGGCTTCCATGGGGAAATTCAGGAAAAATCGCCTGATACATCCACATATCCTGCGGAGTGCTGATATTAATTATTTGCCAACATTTGGGTAATCTTTGAAGATGTCTGAGATAAATGGTGGTATATGTTGGTAAATAGTCGGTTGCCCGCAGAGATTTTAAGACCAACGGGATGCAAATAATTACAATACGTATATTTATAGGTTTCTGATGGTTTCTGCGCCTTTTTGCAACATATTCTTGTACGTTTCCTGAACCCAAAGGGCTCATGCTAACCCCAAACGGTGTTAGGATGTGTTGCGCTTGCACCTTTCATCCATCGGCAATCTGTAGGAACAAAATATGTTAATTGGAGTTTGCTCCATGGTCCGTTGCCCTATGACCCAAGAATGTCTATTCTCCGAAGCTTCACAGGCAGCTCCTAAGGAGCTGCCACAAAAACAGGACCGAAAAAAATGGTAGCTCCTAAGTACTCCTAAGCCTTTGAGCAGCTGCTTTGAGCCCGAGTACTTTTTTGCCGCCGGAACTGTGACAAGGAACTCACGCGGAAATTCATCTCATTGGTGCGGTAGCCACGCCAGGAGGAACAGCTGAAATTGCAGGCGTCAGGCTCCTGGCTCCAGGCCTGTTCCATATCTGCAGTATATAGAATATTAGTGGAATATTCACTTTATCATCTATAGTATAATTTTGTTCTCCAGAATCATCAGTGGAATTTATATTCTATAACTTCGTTATCCAGAATCATTAGTGAAATTGATTGTTGGTGGGTTCTCCATGTCGTTCAGTATGTGTAGTTTTCCAACACCGGCGTATCCGTATCCTTTTCATCCATGTTTCTGCACTCTGCGGCCCATAGATTACCAACACTGCTTTTCTATTGGTTGGAAGCCCAATAGCCAAGCCTTTCTTTGGGGGCCAGTGATTTCTGAGCCAATCAAACCCTGAAAACTGCCCTTCTCTCCTGCGAAGGGTCATGCGTCACCTATACAAACAAACTAACATTATCTGTGGACATGTGATTCACTAGAGTAGCCAAGTCACCCATCAACCATTATCATCACCAAATGATCAAATCATAAATTCATCAAATTATATATCCATGATCCATCATTGCCACCATCATTGCCACCATCATTGTCACCATCATTGCCACCATCATTACCACCATCATTACCACCATCATTGCCACCATCACCATCACCATCATACCATCATCATCGTCGTCGTCATCATCATCATCATCACCATTATCATCATCATCATCATCATCACCATCCTCATCATCCTCATCATCCTCATCATCCCATCTGTTACTCTCCACTTAGATTGTTCTTGTCTCATGCAAGTTGAGAATGGGAGACATCCTCTTTTCAAATGATTTCTATCTGGCTGATCTTTCTTCCTATGTCATACGTTCTGGTAATCCAATCTGGAAATAGGAAGTGGCACAGTGTGATGTCTAGGTGGTGTTCCCTTTAAACAACTGGGACATGTCCCAGTGCCATGTGAGATGACCGGCGGCTATTTGGATCCCCAATTCATGGCGGGCAAATGTGACTATATAGTGCTAATACCCCCCCAATTCATGGCAAAGTTGAAGCGGAAAATGATGATTATAATAACTATTGATTGTAACATATTACAAATGCAAAAAAAAGGAAACCATCAAACATCATCCATCAACTTTACGAGTAATTCACATGGTAATTCCATGGTCATTGGCCTATAATTTTCCTACAACAAAGCTTAAGACTTCTGGAAGCCAAATCCGCCACGGGCCGGGCCCGGTCCCCCCCGGTGTCTCCGTGGGGATGGGCGACATCTGGATGGGATGGGCCACCCCACTCTCCATGGCCAACTCTTGGCCGCCCAGCGCACTGATCGCGGGCCAGCTGGGGAAGGCCTGGCGATATGAAACAAATCTGGTTGTTGGTTGGTGGAGCAACAACCTACCCTCTGGTTATGTCAAAATAGCTATTGAAAATGGCAATTTATAGTGGATTTTCCCATTAAAAATGGTGATTTTCCATAGCTATGTTAGTTTACCAGAGGGTACCAACAAAATTGGTTGGTAATCTACTGTTAATATTAATGGTTGATATTTTTGTTGTTATTATTACTGGTTAATGATGGTTAATAATAATCTGGTTGGTGGTTGACCGACCCCTCTGAAAAATGATGGAGTTTGTCAGTTGGGATGATGATGACATTCCCAATATATGGGGAAAATTAAACATGTTCCAAACCACCAACCAGATTGCGTCCATGATACTTTACGCCACACACTGGTTAAGTGTCCCTTGGGTGATTCATGGTGATTCTCAATCTAAGGGATCAACAAGTTCCACAGCGCCCAGGAAGTGGCATCGCTCCATCCCTAGCTGCGCTCGTGGAGTGTTCCAACAAAACCTAGGGATTTCCAGTAAATTTGAGGGGTGTATTGGATCGTAACACATACACACAAACTTTCAAACACGCAGACACACACAGGTTTCCAGTATAATGTATATTATATATACAGTATGTGTGTGTTTGCGCGTGTGTGCATGTTTGCGCTTAGAGAGAGAGAGAGAGAGAGAGAGCGAGAGCCAACTTCAGATATCCTTTAAAAAAAAAAGACTTCATGAGTTTTCACCCCGCCAGTCCCACCCATGACCTCATGCCAATACTGAGTCGGCATGGGGTTGGTCACCAGCCACTTGGTCCATAATGGAAAGATCACCTGCCGTTGGGCGCGTTGGCTTCGAACTTCAGGGCAAAAGGGCACAACTGCGTTGAAAAAGCAGCAAACACATAAAACACAAAAGAAAAAGGTATGAAAGTGGCACTATTTTAGTAGGATTTTACTTTTCGATCTTTTTTTGGGGTTGTTATAATGAGAAAATCTACCCATTTCATGAGTGGTTTCTGTGCATGATCATCAACCAACGTGGGCCTTGATGTTGTAACGATTTATTCCCCATAAATCAACATATGGTGAAAAAAAACTTTCGGATGCGACCATTAAAAAAGGGTAGGAGTCATCCCAACTATAGATATCCTTTCGGGACATCATGATCAGTCCAGATCATAAGTTCTCCGAATTTGTTGGTAATTTGGGCCACTTGCACATGGGAAATCTTGGGATCAAGGACAGTATGCAGTGGGAGGATTGGTCAACATGACACCATAGCATCTATAGCAATGTAAACCTCTTAAGCATTCTTAAACCAATCTTCAAGCAGGAAAGTAGTTGGCGATGATACCGAACTGGAGTATTTGAGCCAGTCATATCTGTCAAACTAGTCCCTTCGACATGATTCCAACACAAACAAACAAGGACATGCTGCAGCACATCTTCACCAACGCAAGGATTCCCACTGCCCATCGCCATCCACCGATTCAAGGCACCATGAAGATCAAGAATTGACAAACATAGAAGCAGTGGCAACAGCAGGCTCCGTTCAGTGGTGGACCGCAGCTTCCTCGACGCGGCTTCTACCGTCTAGTTTCTGGTTGAAAAAGGGCCCATCATCAACGCATCATAGGCCAAACAAAAAATCAACAAGGAAAACCCCTGAAGCAGGAACTATTGACATCAGTCCAAATTGACCAAGCGCTCACTCTCAGTGTCATGCACAGAGTACCAACAGTCTGCAGCTTCTTGAAACATGTCGTTGGTCATCCATGGTCATCCCATATTCTTCACGAAACAAATAGAGGCTGGTGATCTCTACCATTGAACGACGTTAACGACGCGTGGTGTTTGACATGACTTGCTCTTTCATGCGTGTTTGAATGATTCCCAGGATGCCATAATCCTAGCTGTTGATCTTTTTGAATAGCATATATGTGATTGTCCGTGCAATCCACTACCATCTACCTGATTTTTGCGCGGCCGTTCTCTAGCAGCCCTTGAGTTACTTATAAAACCCACCAAGCCCAACAGTTGTATGTTTTTTGTTAACCGCCCACTTATTAGAACAACAACTACTGGCCCAAATTTAGAGTTTGATGCTTGATATTGAGTATGCATCAAAGAAATCGTACAAGCACTTCAAAAAATCTAGCTACAAAACGGAAGACGTACAGTTTTTCGTTCTATAGTTACATACAGGACTATACATCAAAAAACATCAGAAATCAGTGACTCATCTTTTTTCCCCATCTAACTTCCCATCTAACTTCCCCAAGGCGCGACGTGGCTTGAGGTTCATGGGATGCATCAAATCCGAGGATTGTGTGCCGAGCTCGGCATCTTCATGTTCGCTGCCTGGGCTGGATTTTCGGGCTGGATGTTCAATGGATTTAAGCGAAAGTTGGAGGATGTTTGGGGATGTTCAACAAATAAGTAAATAAACAAATATATATATATATACTGTATATACATATGTGTATATATATATGTGTGTGTGTAAATATATTTGTATATAAAAATAAGTTTATATATATATAATTATTTATATATGTATATATATATCTCTCTCTCTTTTGAAGTAGCTACGGATGATTGGGATGATATGAGGGACCCCTGCCCCCATATCACCATTGAAACCACCCAGTCACCAGCAAGGAATGCGGGAGCTGGTAAACGTGGCAAACCTTCTGGCTTCGAGGAGTTTATAACAAGAATGTCGAACACGGTTTATATACCTTCAAATACCTTCCTCAAACTGTTGTTGAATCTTTATTGATGTGGGTGTCACATTTTAAAGGCCTAAACCACTCTGGTAACCTTTGGGAACCAAGCATGGCGACGGATAAATCCTCATTTTGTTGGATGATCTTCCTATGAACAGCTTCCATTTTCGGGAATTTTCCACATGGCTTCAACAGTCACCCTCTAAGCCCTCGGCGAGACCCAGACTGTGAGCCATGGGAACCTGAACGGCAAAGGGAACGGCATGACCCTCCAGTACTCCGGGGAACGTCACGGAACGCCAATGTTTTTACACCCATAAAAACATGCATCTCCCATTCGGCAATTTAACCATTTGCCATGGACAGTGGCCCATTTATAGATACTTTACCTATCAATGATGGATCATTTCCATAGCTACGGCTACAAATGTTAAATTCCTAGAGGGTATTGATATACGGATACTATGACAGAGACGTCATCAGGCATGGACGAACATGCAGAAGTAAAGGCTAGAATTCAAGGGATTGGTTTCTACCAAAATTACGGGAAACTATGTGTATTTTAACCATGAAATGCAGAAGGTTCCTGCCGATGTTTCCATAAGATCTGATCATCCATCAACGCCAAACACCCAAACGCATGCACCAAGGGGGCAAGCATTCGGCATAGTGCATTAAGACAAAGAAGCATCATTCAAGTTTTAATGACACACACATATATATATAGTTCAAAAAACAAACATGCATGGGCATTGTATAAATAAGAAACACACATATATATATATATATAAAACACAACAACAACAACAACAGCAACAACAGCAACAACAGCAACAACAGCAGCAACAGCAACAGCAACAGCAACAGCAGCAGCAACAGCAACAACGACAGCAACAGCAACAGCAACAGCAACAACAACAGCAACAGCAACAACAACAACAACAGCAACACCAACAGCAACAGCAGCAACAACAGCAACAACAACAACAACAACAGCAACACCAACAGCAACAACAACAACAACAGCAACAACAACAGCAACAGCAACAACAGCAGCAACAACAACAGCAACAACAACAGCAACAACAACAGCAACAACAACAACAACAACACCAACAGCAACAGCAACAACAACAACAGCAACAAAAAACAGCGACAGCAACAACAACAACAGCAACAACAACAGCAACAACAACAGCAACAACAACAACAACAGCAACAACAACAGCAACAACAACAACAGCACCAACAGCAACAGCAACAACAACAACAGCAACAACAACAGCAACAGCAACAACAACAGCAACAACAACAGCAGCACCAACAACAGCAACAACAATACAAACACAATAGGAATCGTTCAGGATCATTCAGACGTTTCAGGCTATAAACTTACACCTCCATAGCTCCCTCAAAATTCCGCCACGAAACTCCGGGAGTTCGTCGTCTCTTCCATTGGGTCACCTGCTGTTTTAGAATCCCGGGGAAAGAGACGTAAGCAATGGGCAAAATTTTCGCTTACAAACCGAAACCTAGAGATTTACATAAACAAACAGTTTCCAGCCAAAATATAATATATAATATAACATAATGATCAGTAGTGTGCGGTTCTTCTTTTCCAAAGATTGCTGACAAAGGAATCATGGTCACGGTCGAAATCAAACGAAATATCATGTCATGTCAGGAGGTCGCCAACAACATACACCCCTCAGCAAATGAAGTGCTTCTCCATAAAAGGACTAAACATGCAATCAAACCATCTGCTTACGCCAACACCCTGCCTTTCCAACTCACCCCAAAAAAATGCAGTTTCCAGTACACAACAAAAATCTTCCAGGGCCCCTTCTCTGGAGGTCCAATGGTCTTCGGATGCTTTTTGGATGTTTGTTGCAGCATGTGTTGCAGCCATGTCACACTGGTCGCCCCGCTAGCTGGCCAGGACGGATAGCAGCTCTCAGCAAAAAATTCTCGAAATTCAGCTCGCGACGGTGCCCTAGATCTGGGAGTTGCACAATGGGGTGAATTCATGTCCAATGTCATCTGATGTCATCTGTCTATGGTACAAAATGCCGCAAACTTCCAGTTGACAACTCCGAAAGCTCGACCCAACTCAGGGGCAGCCCATGTTTGCCAAACAATGGTCATGCTCTGAAACTGCCGCAGCCCAAAAAGCTCCTTTTAATTCCTTTTTGAAATGATTGGCAAGAGATGCAGCACAGTCTCCATGACATGGAGATCTGAGAAAGCGATTTCAAACAACTTCAGCCTGTCTACAGCTAACACAGCAATGCAGGACTCACCCAGCAAAAGCACGACTTGACAAAGCTTAGCTGAAGAAACCACCAGTGGCAAGAGGAAATCCCCTATGCATGCATATAAATGCAGGTTCAAAGGGGAAAATCATCATATCATGTATGAATGGAGAATAAACAGAAAAAAACAAATCTAGTGGGATAGGTGCTTTTGTCCTGCATATGGCTGAAACGTGAGTCCTGAGCGTAAGTAATATGTGCATCATCACGCTTCCCTACTGTCGTTTCCGCGACAGCTATTCGACAGCTGCTCCTCAAATACTCTGCTGGCATGTGTGTTGGCTGAATACACTACTGACACTACTAATGCACAAATTTGAATCGATTTGAGGACCCGTGAGCTTACAAGTGGGAAAATGAATTTCAGGTGCTGAGCAACAAATTGCAGAACCTTTTGTACTTGACTTCAAAAACGGTTGATCCGTGTCTGCCTGTTTGTCACAGGCATGAATGCTTCCAGTTTCTGCATTGCAGCATATTACAATGCCCTACACCTATTCCATCATCCTTGTGGTCTGAAATAGTGAATACAACAACCTTAAAACATGGTTCCGTCTTCAATCTCCGTGTTGTCGTCTTCGATGCGTCTCTCAGCGGTTGGTGGTGGAACCAATCATCATGAAGGCCTGCATGGCAAAGTTGGGGAACCTACCACCAACCAACAAAAGAACTGAGTAGAAGGTGGCGCTTCTTTTAGTTTACTAATTTAGCTTAAAAGTGATATAACTAGGTACGTGTATTTGGGCAGATAAATCTATAAGGCACCAGCACTGTATCTGGATTCGGATTTCAAACCAGCTACCGTAGACTTAAAATGATATCCCATGCAAAAGGCATGAGGAGAAGAAAAAACTACACACAAAAACAATTATACTATACAAATCACATATTATCGACGACGTATATAATATACCCCATCAAAATCACCCAGGTTTCTTGAACATATCTATATAAACCACCCCAAGGTTCAACCAGCCTGGTTCACTCCGATGTAGGGCATGAAGAGCGTCAGAAAGGGCATCAGCACAAACCAGGCAGGCCCAAGCCACTTCATGAGGCCCGTCACGGTCTCGTTCAGGATCAAATTGCTCAACATCAATTCCCACCATCCGCGCGTCACCAGGGCTTGGCTCCAAGTGAGCTTGGCCGCCTGCGCTGGTTTCAGCTTGGTCTTCTCCACCCACAAGTAGGTGCATGGATGAAGCACGTCAAGGGCAATCCTGACAGACACGATGCATGGCGGGTCAGTTAGGGCCAGTGTGAGAAATTCATTTGACTCATTTCATTTTCCAAATCTCTGATCTCTGGATCTGTTTCAAATGCTTCTATCCTCTCCCCATCATCTCTCCATCCTTTCTCCATTTGCATACTGCAGCTGGTAGTCCAGGAGATCGGTTCATCCACATTATCTACCCAACCTGTCCGTGCATTTCATGCACATGAAATCTGTAAATCTCATGTGAACCGACACGTTGGTGCAATGATACCATATGTTATACCGACAAGTGTGTTCAAAGGCAATGCCGAGAGTCAAGGTCACAATGATCACAGCGGACAAGACTCCCATGTGCTTCCTGCCCTCGATCAGGTAGTACATCCATGCGCCAATGGCACCCATGATCAAAAGGAGAGTCCAATACTTCACCAAGTTCTTGGACATCACACCACGATCACCACCTACCCAATAGCTGATGTCCTCACCATACATCTGGTAGCGCATGTAATCTTGGATTCCTTTGATGATGGAGTAGAGAAGCAAAGGCGCAGAGATGTAGAAAAGCTGAGTCGATCACCAAATGTTATCCATGGACAGCCCAATCACTTCGTTGGCCTCCATACTGGTTGATAGTGTGTAGCGCAAGGATGACGCAATGATCATGCCCCAGCTCAAGATCTGCACAATCAGCATGAAGGAAAACATTCCTGTGGATGAGAAGTGGTAAGTCCGCTTCGCGAAGATACTGTAGTAGTTGAAACCAATCCTGAAGATTCATCGTGCCAGGACATGCCATGTTCTGCTACCGCTCCACAGGGAAAAACAAGAAAATCCACACATTTCCACCATATCTGACCCTACGTCAAGGATTGAAAAAGGCCTTAGTTACGGTCTTGAAAACCTGCCGAGAGTCCAGAAGAACGCCGTCCAAAACCACAAGAAGTAGGTCAAGTTATCCATGGAGATCAACAAACGGCCCCACCATCGCATCTCGTCTGGCCAGATCACGGGCAATTTCAATCCTTGGCGAAGCTCGGAGTTCAGAAAGGGGGGAAAAACATATAATATTATATATATATATATGCATATATAAAAATACATATAAGATATATATATAATACTTCCCAGTATGCTCATTAAATATATTCCCTGAATTCTGAATATTACTGCAACTGCAATATAGCCAGTATAATAATAGATTACTGCAAGTAGATGAGATGATTCAAGATTCCCGAAATTCTCGATTTACCCTTGGAAACAAAGTGAAATCTGATTTTTAGCAAATCCAGGAAGCCGCACACTCTCTGGACCAGCTTCAACAACTCCGTGAAGAGGAACACCAGGGCCAGGAAGAGAACTAACGACAACACCCAGCTGATGAATTGGAGCGTCATGGTCAGGTACGTCTCCAAAAGCTCAGGATTTTGCTTAAAGTACCTTGGATTTGCTGGGACCAAACAATAGCTTTGCCAAATGGTGAATGTTCCATCAGGAAAATCAACAATGACCGACAATGACCTTGTGAAACAAAGCCAGGCTACTCACTCTTCGCCACCAATGCGAAAGTCTTCAACTTCTCCACCACTGGGTTGATCGTCTGATCATACCATTCCTGATCCACAATGCCCCACCTCACCACCGCCCAAGTCGGGTCCGTCTTGCCGATCATGCGGAAGAGGGATGCCAAGAAGAAAAAGAAGAAGATCAGGGTGAACCACACCATGTAGACACCTGGATGTGGCTGAAAAAATGCTGATTCACTAGGGGAAACCATTATATCTGGTTGGTGGTTTTTAACCATCTTGAAAAATATGAAAGTCAATGGGAAGGACTATCCCATATATTATGGAAAATAAACAATGTTTGAAACCACCAACCAGATATACAATTTATATACTATATATTATTAAGCAGTCAAGGGAATAGGGCACCCTATTTTGAACCTGATTATGTGCAGAGCGAAAATATTCACTAACCAAATATGGAGATAAGATCTACATATTTCATAATCTCTGTGGTTTCATCTTAACTGATTATCAGGGACATTTGCCCAAACATCCGCAATCCCATATGTTCCATGTGCAGAATATCGATCATTTACTACACAAATCACCTAAATTAAATGTAGCTAAATATGCCATACATGGAGCATCTGGGAATCGCAAATGTATGACTATCAATCAGCCAAATATGCAAAATTAATCAATTAGTCAACAAGAAAATCAGGAGATGGAGATACGAGCCATGATCAGATTAGTGGTTGCCATCCCTCGAGGATATATGGAGCCAACCATGGGAGAATGGCCGACAACTGCCACATCTTTGCGAAAGTCGAGCCGCTCAGTTCTTAAAATCCAAATGTGGTTGCACCATGTTGCACCCGTGAAAGAAATTTGTCCAAAAACTAGCCTGAACCCTACACCCTACACCCGAACCACCAACTGCAAAAACTGGTTCAGATATGTTCACATTGTGTTCAGACCGTAATGGCCTGGAAAATTGCGACGCAATGCGACGCATGTGTCTGTCTTCACTAATCCTCCGTGAATGTGCCCTAGACTGTGGCTGACTGCATTCTATAAACATGTTGGTTTATAAAATGATTCTGAGGGTGCTCTTTTTTTATAGAATGAATCTGAGGCATATTTATGGAATGGTCCGGCAAGTTTAAGGATCTCAGATTTCGATGGTTAAAAACCCCAAAAATTAACTTTATAGAATGAATTGGCTAGTTACATGTAAAAAAAACAGGAGGAAAGCCAGCAGGACATGTCGGTTTATAGAATGCTATTTCAAGTGCATGTTTGGTCCAAACATTTCGAAACAAGTCTGTTACTCGAATCGAACATGACACTCCATGGGATTTATGGAATGCATCTACCAGGATGGTTAACTTCGATTTAACATCAATTTTTTGGAGCATTTTGGCTTTTATGGAATGAGTTAAAGGGTTGCAAAACCTTGGTTTTATAGAATGAGTAGGGAGGGTTCATGTACTTGCTTGTTCCAACCGGTCCGATCGATTCCCCCCAAATCTGGGTTTATAGAATGATACCCAAAACTGCATTCCATAAACGACCACAAACTCATTCTATAAAGGTACATTAGCGGGGGATTTCACTAAACATTACGAGAAAAATGCATTGGACAGTTGGGATCTTTCGTCAGCATTCCCTGCCTTTGTGGCAGCTGAAGAAGGTCTGCAAGGACAACACCACACCTCCCTCAGCCCATCGCTGCACGGCAGCCAAGTAATCCACAGGATTCTTGGCCATGCCGAAGGACAAACGGCGATTGATGAATTGGGATCGCCTGCCTCGAAGGACTTGCTGAAGACTACTGGCAGTGTCTTCCACCTTGCAGCTTTCATGGAATGTTCGGCGTTCGACATACTCCTGACTCTTGCGCTTGCTCTCCACGTCACGGACGCGCCTCCTCTCTTTCTCCCACACCAAATCTCCAGGAGGGTGACGAATCATCCATGTGCCATTTGTTCCACAAGAACTCACACCTCCGCAGCAATTTCGAATCATGCAATTCAAGCGGAAGAATTGGGCGTTGTTGTTATCCAGGTAATCCAACTTGTCCTGCATCTCGTGGAAGAACTGCGGGCACTGAGTGAAGCCAACATAAGGGTTCAGCTCCATGTCATCGTCAAAGAAGTAGGGGATCGTGGTGTGGAAGAAATCGGTCTGGAACTGATGACGAGCATCGCAAATGCTGTAGAGGCAAGGGTAGTTGTCCCGCTCATTGTTGTACATGTTCTCAGGCCTGTCGGCGTACAAGCACAAATAGTTCTCGGAGAAATTCAATCCTCCTGCTTTGCCGCGACTGGTTCTGAGAGGAACGTTGTTCATGAAGGCGTCATCATCCTCCATGCCGTACACCATCTCCTTAGCATTTGAACGAAGTTTCAGCCAATCCTTGTTCTCCGCATTCACTGGGACCTTATAGTACCAAGTTCCTGGAGCAACATGCTGGGCCTTGATGGTTCTCTCATCTTCAATGGGTTTGGCTCGGGCCAGGTAGTGCATTCGCAGGGCCAAGCTGTTCCGATCTTTGGGTTCCCAGTCAGCAACGTCATCACCTATCTTTTGGGATCCCAACTGGCGGTTTTTCTCCAACTTCTCTATGTTCAATGATATCACAATAACTATTCAATGAATATCAATAGATGGTCACAACAAACCGCAGTGTTCTCATAGTTTCCCTCAACTTGCAGCTGAGGCACGGTGCATGTCCTTCTTCTCCTCCTTTTTGCTCTTCAGATCCTCCTCCAACACCGTCAGGGCCTGCTCCAAAGGCTCAATGGAGGCAGGAGGCATGGAGCCCCAGCCGCCTTCCGTGCGGAGTTTCTTCAAGGAGCTCTTGCCGCACATTCCTAGGTCCATGAGTTTGACACAAGGTGAAGCCATCCAAATGAGGGCTTCACCATGAACAGCGTAGAACCATCCAGGAGTACTAGCAGAATCTCCTTTGCTTCAATTCAGATGTGCTACTTGGCTCATACTTTGTAGTCTTCTTCAGCACTTCAGAATGGCCAAGTCCACACAAACGCACACACATGGTATACTAAGATGTGTGTATCGTTATATATAAACATATTAATACATATTAAAACTACATGTGTGTGCGCGGGCGGTATCTATCTATGGCAGCTGTTTGGGAAAGTGCTGCCAACCATCTGCCACCTAGATTCTGAACATGTACTGTGGCTCAACATCCTCGCCCTTGGCACCATCTTTCACTTTGGCCAAATCCATCTTCTTCGTCTCCTCCACCCATGTTTGGAAAAACTTGCTGACGTTCTCCTCATAAGTCACACCACCAAAGTTTGGGATGCGATCAATGACAGCCGCCAACTTCATGAACATCATCTTCTGCTCGTTTCGGTGACCCTCGTCAACGAAGGTCACATGATAGCGGCAACGGCAATCCTTTGGCATGCAACCAATGGCTCCGACCACATTTCGCAGCACCACACACTTGTTCTCTCCCGCACTGGGGATACAAACTGTGATGTAGCGCAGGTTTGCGGTGAGCTCAGGATCATATCTTCGGAAGTGAGGGTATGGAGTGAACACTCCTGGACAAAGCATGACAGCTTTGACACCGAAACCGATCAGCAAGACATAGCAAAAGAGCCACACCGGCGCAGTCTGGTTCTTTTCATAGTCAACAAAGCCAACCAAAGCGGTCTGGTTGATGTAGCCATCCTCAGACGCATGACTAAAATGCCCATGGCCTGATGGAAAACAGGTCATTCAGCAACTGTTTTGGGGAGCTTCCGCAGGATCACCAAGCTTGAGGGGAGAGATACGATATACATTAAATTGTGTCTGTGTGAATCAACGTATATGGATTCTACAATATTCTACATACATATTCAATCAGAATCATGAGTGGCAGTCCCAGGGGAAGTGATTTAAAAAAACACGCCCATGCCAAGCAACTTCGGTGCAATTTGCCATTGGTCGCTGCTCTGACTGACAGGCAAAAGCACATCTTCCCGAGACGGCCACGCATCGATCGTTGAAGGGCGGTGGTGCTGCCTGCTGACCAGCCTCAAATCGACTGAAGGATCCCTCATAGAGGGTGCTGTTCACAGCACACGCCACCAAGTACATAGGACCCTGCCGCGGTTGCATTTAAACATTTGTTTCAAACACCGAAAATCATCTTTGAATATCTTTGAGACGAGAAATAATCCTAAATAAAAATCCAAGACAATAAACATACAGTCCACGGAAAAAATCCAACAAACTCAAATATAGAAACAATAAATTTACAATATGTGATGCAGATCCATACATAGATATAGAAAGTATAGAACCCCTTGCCTGACGGCCATAGCACCAGCCAGGATCAATCTCCAAACGGTTCTGCTGATTGAGATTCATGGCATGAGCTGAAGCTGGGTCCGTGACGGGGGCCAGCTCCTCATCATAGGAGTCGGGATCTTCCTTGACCAATGGTTTGTTGTCCTTACCAACTGCCTCTGGAGGTTGGGTCATGCCGTAGTTGTGCTTGTAGAGCTTGGTCCATTTGCCACGGTTGTCCCGGGAGGACTGCAGGATGAAAACACGCGGTTGGCTGAAAACATCAGTTCCGGCAGGAGCACCAGCACCACTCACGGTCACATGGAAGCGGGGAAGAGATGTGTAGATCATAGGGCCTTTCCCAGCAGCACTGCCACTGCTGTCGGGACCAAGACCTGGTATGTCCCCAATGCCTGGAATGCCCGCGGGAGCATCTGGATCTGGATCCAAGCCTGGCAATCCCGATGGCAAGCCTCCCATGCCAGGAATCTGCAGCCTGCGCCTCATGTCATCTTCGGTGCGGGGGTCATACAAACACTTGTGGTAATTCCACTGCTTGAACTTTTCGGTGGCCGTGTCACATTTTCCATCCAAACCGCCTTTCAAGCACTCCCTCATCTCAATGGACCCTTGGAAGTTGGCAGAGGGAATCTCCCTGCCGGCAATGGAGGTCTTGGTCATCTCAATGGTGCTGTCCGCGGTACAACCCTCGAGCAGGTCAGAGTTGATCACTGAGTCACAAGTCCATCCGCAAACACCACCTGTGAAGGGATGGAAGAGAGGATTTCGAAGGAGACGGCCAATCAAATACTATATGAAACAACTAAGATTTCAGGGGCGTATGGAGGAACATATTTCCCACCCAAGGGCACAAGGGTACGCAGAAGTGTCATGGAGACGTCTAGCTAGCCTTTATTGGGATTTGCGCGTAACATATTCAAATAAGATTTTCGGCGGTGAAATTTTGCCAAACAGGTCATTCTTGTCGCTCCCTGTCCAAAGGCAGGCCTGCAGAGTGACAATGGGTGCCCAAATCCGAGTCTTCCAGCCTGGTCGTGACAAAATGGTGGCCATGTGTCCGCAATCTTTGCCCCCTGGGAAAATAAGAAATGGGAGCTGTCAAAAAATGGCCGGGATCTTTCTGTTTTCCCTGAACATGGGAAAATTTATTGTACCTGGACACAAATACTGTCCAGTGGTACTCGCGGACCTTTGGCACACTGCCACGAAACAGCACATTTCATAATGCGAACCTTCCGAGAGTGTACAAAAGACATGTTTTATTTTCTAGTGTGAACCTGTTCTGGATTGGTTCAAATAGGTGTTTGAGACATGTTCCGACAATGGATTATATTTGGTGATTAGGACACAGTCCTTTCACAAAAACTCAAGCGGAAGAATAATTTCTGACTCCTGACCCCCGTCGATTTTACCGTTGGGTGGGGTTAAGCACAACACCTCTCACCGGAAAGTTCACATGGGCTCAGAATTGTATGTGTTAGCTGTATGGTCAGCACACACACACATATATATAGTTACATCCATTATGATGTATATATATATATAGTTATATATGTATATAGAATAATACATATAGCTTTATATATATATATATAGCTATGTGGATCAAAAATATATAGTTGCATAAATTTATTTTCAATCATTATAGACCAAGAGTTACATATATATAATAATACATATCTATATATATATAGCTATATAAACAGCTAAATAAATAAATAAATATATATAGTTAAATATAAAGCCATACATCTGTAGATAGATTTAGTTGTATATTTATAGTCATATATAAATATAAATTGTCACATATATATATATAGTTACAAACATTACTGTAAATTTCTAAATACATATATAAACTTGTTCCCGAATGCGTAGCAAGGGTTCCCGTTTCACTCTGGGGGTCTGGGGGTTGAGGGTGTGTTCGCTCGACGTTGCGTTTGTGGTCGCAACCGTTCGCAACCGTCCGCAACCGTTCGCGCGATCCCCGTATGGCCGTGCCTATGGGAAGTTCTGCAGAGGTGGTCATTTTTGGAGGTTTCAGACGTGTCGTTGCTTCGTTTCGCGTGGCAGGCGTGGCACTTCGTGACATTCAGACGTGTTCTGCAACGTGTCGAAAGTCGTTTTGCGTGGCAGGCGCAATACTTTTGCGACGTTTTCAGAAGATGTGTTGCAGTTTTCGTGGCAGGCGCAGCACTTTGGACGCGTGTCCATCGTCATTTTTCGTGGCAGGCGCAGCACTTTAGACGTGTCCTGTTGCGTGTTTTTGTAAATCGCATTGGCAGGGCTGCGTCAAGTGGTGACAAGGTGCAAATTCCGTGGCAGGCGTGGCATTTTCTGACATGTGCTGAAAATTGACGGAAGCCTCGCACGAAACATCGATTTTGAGGTTGCAAATTTTCAGGTTCTAAGGAAAACTCGTAGGAAAACGTCGATTTTGAAGCTGCAAAGTGTGAAAAGTGGAGGAAGTCTCGCACGAAATGCTCGTTTTGGTGCTCCCACCTGTCTCTTCTCGCGTGTCTGGTTTTCCCGTGGCCTCGCCGTGTCTATGGGGGAAGCTGCAAAACTTGTCCTTTTGTCATGTTGCCAACTGTGAAAATTGGAGGACGTCTCGTACGAAATGCTGGTTTTTCTGCATCCACGTGTCTTGTCTCGAGTCGCTGGTTTTCCTGTGGCGTCGCCGTGTCTATGGAGGAAGCTGGAAAACCTGTCCTTTTCGAATGTTTCCAGGCAGGCTGTGTTGTTGTTTTGCGTGGCAGACGTGGCACTTTCTGACATTCCAACCTGTTTGATAATGTGTCGTAAATGTCAAAATTGGAGGAAGTCTCGTACGAAATGCTGGGTTTTCTGCATCCACGTGTCTTGTCTCGAGTCGCTGGTTTTCCTGCGGCGTCGCCGTGTCTATGGGGGAAGCTGGAAAACATCTCCTATTCGAATGTGTCCAAGCAGGTTGTCATGTCGTTTTGCGTGGCAGGCGTGGCACTTTGTGACATTCCAACCTGTTTGATAACGTGTCGAAAATATCAAAATTGGAGGAAGTCTCGCACGAAATGTTCGTTTTGGTGCTCCCACGTGTCTCGTCTCGAGTCTCTGGTTTTCCTGTGGCGTCGCCGTGTCTATGGGGGAAGCTCCGCACTCCACACTCTACACTTTACACTCCACACTCCACAATTTACACTTTAGACTCCAAACTCTACACTTTACACTCCACGCTTTACACTTTGCACTGTAAACTCCTCACTCCTCACCTGAGACTTTACACTCCACACTCCACACTTTACACTACACTCTACACTTTCCACTCCTCGCTCCTCACTCTACACTTTGCACTCCACACTCTACACTCTACACTCCACACTCCACACTTTACACTACACACTCCTTACTTTACACTCCACACTTCACACTCCACACTTTCCACTCCACACTCCACACTTTACACTCCACACTCCACACTTTACATTCCACACTTTCACTTACACTCCACACTTTACACTCGTCGCTCTACACTCCACACTCTACACTTTCCACACTCTACACTTTACACTCTACACTCCACACTCCACACTCTACACTTTACACTACACTACACGCTTTACATTTCACACTCCACACTCCACACTCTACACACCACACTTTACACTTTCCACTCCACATTTCGCACTCCACACTCTACACCTTACACTCCACACTCCACACTTTACACTTTACACTCCTCACTCCACACTCTACACTCCCCACTTTACACTCCACACTCCACACTCCCCACTCCACACTCCACACTTTACTGTACACTCCACACTCCACACTTTATACTTTACACTCCTCACTCCACACTTTACACTCCTCACTTTACACTCCACACTCGACACTCTACACACCACACTCTACACTTTCCACTCCAGACTCCACACTCTACACTTTACGCTCCACACTCCACACTTTACACTCCACACTCCACACTTTACACTCCTCACTTTACACTCCACACTCCACGCTTTACACTCCTCACTCCACACTCCACACTTTACACTCCTCACTCCACACTTTACACTCCACACTTTCCACTCCACACTCCACGCTTTACACTCCTCACTCCACACTTTACACTCCTCACTCCACACTTTACACTCCACACTCCACACTTTCCACTCCACACTCCACACTTTGCACTCCACACTCCACACTTTACACTCCTCACTCCACACCTTACACTCCACACTCCACACTCTAGATTTTACACTCCTCACTTTACACTCCACACTCCACACTTTACACTCCTCACTCCACACTTTACACTCCTCACTCCACACTCCACACTCTACACACCACACTCTACACTTTCCACTCCACACTCCACACGCTGCACTCTACACTCCACACTCTGCACTTTACACTCTACACTTTACACTCTACACTTCACACTGTACAATTTACAAACTCCACACTCCTCACTCCACACTTTACACTCCTCACTTTACACTCCACACTCCTCACTCTACACTTTACACACTCCTCACTTTACACTCCACATTCCACACTCCACACTTTGCACTTTACACTCCTCACTCCACACTCTACACTCCACACTCTACACTCCACACTCTACACTTCCCACTCCATACTCCACACTCTTCACTTTACACTCCGCATTCTACACTTTACACACTCTACACTCCCCACTCTACACTTACACTCCACACTCCTTACTTTACACTCCACACGCCACACTCTACACTTTCCACTCCACACTGCAGACTGGTAACAAGGGAACATGTACAAGACTGTTCAAATAAACTATTGCAGAAAGGTATTGTGCGTGACTGCAGAACCATGTGTATTGACATCTGTACCATTAACATACGTGTGAGCATTCGGGTTCGTGGGCTTCATCTTGTTTTTTTTAAATATATATATATATAGTAATATAAATATACATATATAGTAATATATTGTTAAATGTATATGGTTTTAAATATAGTCAAATTCACAATCATAAATATACAAAGTTATGTATATATAAAGTTATATATATATAGCTGTAAATATATATATATATAGTTGAATGTAGTTTTACATATGTATATATAGTTAAAAATATAGTTGGATACATAGTTACATATATAGTTAAACATAGGGTGAAATATAAAGTTAAATATATAGTTAGATATATAGATAAATAAATAGTTAGATATATAGTTAGATATATAGTTAAAAATAGTTAGATAGGAATATATATATATATAGTTTTAACTAGTTCTGTATAGCAATATACATGTAGTAAATATAGTTATATATATATATGTATAAAGTACCATATATATATGATGTTATAAGCATATAGTTGTATTATATATAGTTAAATACATAATGATATATATATATGTGTAGTTACACAGAATATAGCTATATATATATGTTTATAGATAATCATGTATACCTTTATAAATAGTAATATAAACATATTTACACATAGTTATGTATTGCTGTATTTACATTTCTGTAAATATAACTTTATTAACATATAGTTATATATATATATATATGTAGCTACTTATATAGATTTAAATGTTTTATATACATTTATATGTATATTCATACAGTTATACATTGTGTTAAGTATATTAATGTATATTATTATATATAGATACTGTATATATTTTTAAAACTATACATATATATGTAAAAAAAAAGGATGTGTATAAATCATTATGTATAATTATGTGTTAATTATATTAAATTATCTTTTTTTTCTCTCTCTCTCTCTCTCCGATTCTGATATGATAATGTTTCAACACATACCTCAAGTAAGGCTAAGTTCAACTATCGAAACAATCAACTAAACCTAACTATCACTTGCCAAATTCCTAGCGGCTAGGCTTAAGCCCCGTTTCTATCCTGATGCCAGGCAACTCAGTCATCTGCTCGAGCTCGGAAAAACTGGTGGGGCTCCACACCACGCAGGCCAACACAAACCTCGGCGAATGCGGGACATGGGGGCGACATGGAGAGATATGGGACATGGGGGAAATGCTTGCAAAACTAAACAATAATTCATATAAAGTCTATGTTCAAAACGAAAAAAAAAGGAATAACCGTTTCACCGGTGTTAGGTGTGCCATCTTTTTCCGGGGAAATGCATATTGAGTATGATTGAAAGGAACATCTTCAGTGAAGCCGCAAACTTGTGCCAGTAGTTGGCAACTATTCCGACTATTCCTTTCAAACAAGTTTGGGATTGCTCTGCCTAAACGGATTTGAGTAGTCAAATTAGAGATAGTTTACCTTGGCTTACGAAGTTTACACAGTTTACTACCAACTAGCAATGGACTGCGTCTTAGTTATATATGACCCATGCCAGTTCGTTGGAGATCATGAATCGGGTCACATAGCGGAAAACTCAAAAAAATGACTCCAGAAACTTACGACACCGCATCATGCTGTAAATGTCATGTGATATCATGTGGTATCATGTAATTACGGCAATATGCTCTACCTAATCTCTACCCTCTTATTTGACATCGCTATGGAACATGGCCAATTGATAGATGATTTATGATGATTTAGCTGTAAAAAACATGTAATTTGCCATAGCTGCGTCAAATCACCCGAAGGACAAAAATCCTCGTTGCTGTCTTGGATACATTGGATACCGAGGAACTGGCCAGAGGTTGTTTCACTGATGGCATCTGGTGTGGCTGGAGGCACAATGCAGCTGTCCGTGGTATAGGTGTAAGCGTGGCCTGCCTGGTGGTGCCACGAGGCTGGGGGCCTTATGGGAGGAGGCTCCTCTGCATGGCTGAACCACACTTCTGGTAATTTAATCAGCAATTTTCAGCCATGATCCCAGCATGATCAGCAATGAGGATTTCATCCAGTGGATTGTAAATTCTAAATCAATCAATCTATCTTAAAAACCTACACGGTGAGCGTGCCCCAGTGAGCTAAATGGCTGAGTTGGTTTTCACAGAACTCCAATTTCACGTTTGGCTTTATGGTAGATCTATCTGTCTAAAAATGATATATATATATATATTTATATATTTATAGAGTCACAAGCAAAAATATAGTCACGATTTATCATATAGTCATTACAGTATATATTTATGGTTATCAGAGTGACTATATGATATATACAGTATATGGCTACTATAGTCACTATGGTTCATTCAACCATAACTGGGGCGCCTCGGAGGTCCTTGCCCTCCAGAAGGGCTGCGGATAGGCGTGGCGCCGATCCGCCACCACCCACCAGTCGTTGAAGTCCGCCGAAGCCAGCAACACGGGGTACACCGTGTGGACGTAGCCTGGTGGGTGGGTGTGGAAAACAGCGTTTCTGGGCCAACGATCTTAGAGATGCTCCTTTAAAATCTTTTTTATACATCCTTGATCATCTTGTAAGAGAATAATTAGCTACTTTTTCAGCAAATCTGCTGGTGCTTGGGGCGTCTACCAGCCGTAGGCTGATGGACAGGATAGGAAAACAGGCAGCAGCACCCAGGCCGTTGCTCAGGGGAGCAGCATTACAGACCTCCAACCGTAGCTTTGAATCATGGGCTATGCATTCATGTTATATCGTGTTATATCACTCGATGTTTTTCTGTTCAAAAAATGAAAGACATGAGATTGAAAGCACGGAGTCACATGAAAGGTAAAAATTGTACTCGATCACGCTCCCGTAAATGAACAAGACACCATGAAAATCCATGGGTTTCTCAAAAACGATCTACATTTCATGGCGGATTACCATGGATTCCCTCTATTGCAGGTGCCGGAGCCTCTTGCCAGGATGGAGTCATTCAGAGTCAAACTCACCCTGAAGTTCATCTCATTGGTGCGATATCCACGCCAGGATGAGCAGGTATAGTTGCAGCTATCTGGCTGCTGCCTGGGGACATAGAAAAGTGTGGATGATTTGGGCCTTGGGGGCGAACGAACCTGGGATAAATCACTACATCTACGGCAATCAAACTGAAATAACTTCTAGTAAAGCGGATAAAAAGGGTGCACTATATTATCAATATAACATGTGCATACAATTCATATAAAATTCTAATATGCAGGGGACCGGGCCAAGAAATGTGAGATCTTGGGGGCTCACAAATCTTGCTTATGATTCCTGGGTTTCAATGTGACTTGTGTCTGCCATCTTTAAATTGACCGAAGAGCGATGAAAACAAAGAAAAAACATCTAACCTGTAGCCTTGCCATTTTCAGCGAACCATAGCGAAGCCGTGTACCGACCACTTTAGCAAAGAGTTGCTGATGACCATTGGAGAACGGACCATTCGTGAACAGACCACTCCTGTAACCTAAGTTGGATAGTTCCAACCACTGGGTAAGTGTGGTTTCTCCCCCCACAACGACGTGGCAGTGGCATTAGCAGCGCCCAAACCTGCATGATGCGGATTTGAAAGCCAAACTGCAAACGATGACATAGTTGTAAGTTAAGTTGTAACATGATTCTCTGACCCATAGGATCCATGTATGCTATATATGGTAACATTTACCATCAATATACCCCCAATGTTAGCATATATACCATACATGGATCCTATGGGTGATGTAATCAACATATTTTCTAATGCCCTTCATTTTCCACACAACGCCTTTTGTCTGGCTCAGGCCAATGATCCTTGGAATGCCTCGGCATTTCTCGTGAATTCCCAGTGACCGGTGACCGTGCAGGAGAGCGGCGGAATCGGAGACATCTCAATGGGATATTTGACCTCAGCGAGCGTTGGGATGGGGAATCTCCTCCACGGAATCAGCCCCGGAATCACTGCGAATCAAAATCGAAACATGATAAAAACCATGATAAACACATGATAAGAACATGATAAAATCTATCAAGCTCAAGGCCACCTGGGCGCCCCCTTGAGCCAGGTTACGGGACTTTGCTCTGCCAGCTTCTGACCCCCCACGGCCGCAATGGAGGGCCACTTCGGGTATTGCCTCAGCTGTATGTCCCCCTCCAAAGGTCCACTGTTTGAATGCCAATGCATGACCTGAGGAACTGTGGCCTGTTCTCTCGCCAAAGGGCTCGTGCCAGTACTGCGTGGGCATCGGATTCGTTACCTTGGAACGGTTAAGTAGAAGCTGGGACCTATAGTGATTCCCCACAAGGACTAGACTCAATAGCTGCCAAAAGAGATGCGTTCAACACACAAATTCAACCATTGTTTTCCTCGAAATAAGGATGTTGCGGGACCCCATGTGAGATTGTGCCGTACTCGGACACCCACCATGTCCTTTCACATGTCAAATGTGAATCTATAGATATTTACAGAACTAATATACAGTAAATAATCTGTATATATATATATATATATACACATATAGTTATACATAATAATAATATAAAATTAAATATAATTCATTGTATAAAATTTTAATATATATATATTCATAATATATATATATATTTGTAGCTGTATAATCTTATTCAGCTTATATTGCTTATATTGTCTAAACATATCTAAATTAAAGTGTGAATCTGATAAACAATTGCACTTGGTTCAGAGGGGGGTGCCGCCGGCGTGAATTTGCGATCACGGAATAGATGGCATACTATGACGAATCACACCGGGACAACCAGCCAAAACATACCAAAATTACAGAAAGGCTTTCTTACTTGATGATATTTAAACCTTTTTTTCTTCCCTCTCGATTATGCATTATCATATATTATCATGCATTTTTTAGCCATTTGAAGATCACTTCAGGGAGGTGATGCAGTTCTGAACGGCCATGCCCCACGCCAAGAGACTAACCACTTGGTCCACAATGGAAAGATCACCTCAGGGCTGCACCCGAACTGGCCCGGGGAAAACCGACCCCGCGACCCGCGACAGAAATTAGGGGAGGGATATGGAAGGATCTGAAAAAAGTGGAGAAAAATCATGAAACATCCGACTTCGGCGTGAAAATTGGATGAATCATATCATATAATATCTCACCAGGAACCGCTGAAACAGTCTCACTTTGTGCCCTTTGGCTTGTGTCGGCCTAAGCATTGATGCAGCAACTCAATGTACACCAGAATCCTTCCCAGAAAGTTGACATCATCTTCAAATTACTCAGGGGAAAAAACATGAACATCATCATTTCCCATCATAAACTCGCCTTCAAAACGTTCTTAAGAGACATATCTCAATCTTCCAAGGGGTTAGCATCCAGAAATCAGCCGCTCAGGCGCTCAGCCCTGGATCAGTTAGCTGAGATGCCATAAAAATGAGGAACTGGCACACGTAGCACACGTGACAACAGCAGGCTGCCGTGAGTGGCGGTCGACATCCACCTGCTGAGGGATTTTCCTTTTGGATCCTTTTGGATCTTTCCCCATGATCCTCAGGGTTCAGTCAAATATATTCATGAGAAATCTGAGAAATCTGTTCAAATTGGACTTAGTGGGGCTCAACCGTTTTTCAATGTTGTTCACTCTTCGGACCCTGGGGCGTGAAGCGGATGCAATCACAAATCGTCCCAAATCAGCCATTGGGGGCTATGAAATCAATTACCCCAAGTTCGGGTTGCACACAATTTCATAAACAAATTGTGGATGGTCTATGGCACTTTGTTGGTCCTACATGGTCCTACAACATTTGCTCCCAAGTTCTGTTGGCACTTTTACCGTTGCCAGTTTTGATGGAGCTGAGGGTCAACCAGCGTTGGTGGATGACACCCCAGGGTACAAGGCCCCCCTAGCTATGAGTCACTGCATATATCATAAAATTAATTGCTAAACTATAGATATAGTTATGTTCGCCAACTTCGCCAACTACATCCAACCATAAATCCCACGAAATCCCATTCAATCACCGTGAAATCACCATGAAATCCTGTTAAGTCCGTGAAATCACCAATGCTGGGCTCTCCGGGCGCGGCTGCTTCAGGTTGACCAAGGTATGGTCGATAGTCTCATCGTCGCTCTCTTCGGTGCTGTTGTCCACATCGGTGCCACCTCGGCGGGGTTTTCTTGGGAAAATCTTCACCGGAAACGACGGTGTGTTTTACTATTGGTTTAAGGGAGAAAATCTTAACCCGAAACCATCGATTTTCCAAACAAGTATGGGGTTTTCCTGCGATTTTTTCCTTGAGCCAACCCATTATTTTTTATTACGATGGGGGAAAAACTATGAAATCACCATATTTTGGGGGGGAACCAACATCCATTCACCGGTTATTCTAGGGGTAGGGTGTCAGGCTTTTGACTCATAGCCCTATCACAATTGCTTGGGGGTGTTCATTTAAAATAGCTTGGTTGAAACAAAACTCTATGGCGCCATGGTTTTTACCAATGGGTTGGCTTGGAAGATCTTCAACGAAAACGATGGGATTTTGCAAACGTGATCATTGAAATATTGGGGCTTCCTGTGGAAATTCCTCAGCCACCAATTCTGAGACAATGTTGTTGGATGTCCCAGTTGCAAAGTGAAGGCGCAATGCATATAGTACCCTCTGGTAAACTAACATAACTATGGAAAATCACCATTTATCATGGGTAAATCCACTATAAATGACCATTTTCAATAGCTATTTTTGTTTACCAGAGGGTAACGCTTTTATCACCCAAAATGCATAGGCTAGAAACCACTAAAAGTGCACTTTCCGGCTGATCAGTGGCTTAAAACCCCACTGGTTCGGCTCGTCCCAGGACTGTCTCACAACCATAGTGATTGACGTTGTTATCCCGTTGGATTGTTGTCAATATTTGTCAATGTAGCTGTTTGTTGGTTTGGTGTCCACTTTATCTTACCTTTGTTGCATACCCTCTGGTTATTTAACATAGCCATGGAAAATGGCCCATTTATAGATGGTTTACCTGGGCTTACCTATTCAACATGGTGATTTTCCATGGCTATGTTAAATAACCAGATGGTAAAATTTTTAACTCCGTACATGTTCACCTGGGATGCCTCAGAGGCACTTCTAAGGACTCATTGAGATGTTGCTGAGGGAGGCTGAGGGAGATAGCCAGCCAAAGAAATGGCCACAAACGCCCTGCTCATGTGCTTCTGCAATGAGGTACAGTTGCATATACAATGCAAACAAACAAAAAAAACAAACAAACAAACAAACAAACAACAAACAAACAAACAAACAAACAAACAAACCACTCAAAATCATAAGAACAATAACGCTAAGAGGGATAAAACTGAAAATAATTGAACATGATCAATCAAAAAATGAGCACACCAGTATATATACCGATCATATGTAACAACTGTAACAACCAACTCACAATTCATAACATAAAAACATTATGTTTATGCCAGTTTCTGCATTGCAAATATACATATATAAACGCACATACCTATATGTAAATGCATGCATATGCATACAGATATGTATGAATATGTACGTGTATATATATATATATCATATTGTGCATATATGATAACGTATAATGTATATGTATATATGATTATATATGCGTGTCCCTGCACTGCTTGGAGTTCCGGGTTATGTTGCAAATCAGTTGCGTTTTAAGTTTTAACTTTACCTCGTCTGTGATGACCACCATCGGAAGCCCGCTCGTTGGGCCTAAACATGACTCTAAACACAAACACATGTACCTCATTAACCCTAGATAACCCCCCAACCACCCCCCACACCCCAAAAAAGTAGGATAGCACAGTGAGCCCCTCCTTTTATGGCAACAGTTTACCGGTTACATCCCATGGAGTTTCCCATCGAGCGTCTGTCATAGATCAGCTGTCGGTGACTCATGGCTCTGGCCGCGATATGGGCGATATGTTTGTTTTCCCTCACTGGGCCACTGATCTGGGGTTCTTTGATACGATGCCGTTGACTTGTTCCGAGTTCAGAAATATGCTGCGCAAAGCACAGGCTGAGCAGCCAGGGAGCCACAAGCTGAGCCACAGGCACAATCAAGGGTAGAACCGGACAGGAATTTCAACTGTCGTGTTTGTTCAGTTCATAATTATGTAATAATAATAAGCATATTATATCTTACACACAGATATATATATATACACTATATTAATATATATTATGAACATCTTCGCATCATGTTATCTCAGCTCTCCCTCCGCCTTTTTGTTACGTACGTTACCGTACGTTTTCTTGCCCTTTGGTAATTTACCATGGCCATCGAAACTGGCCTGTTGATAGATGATTCTCTATAGCAAACGGTCAAATATCCAGAGGGTATGTACTTCTGATACCTACCAGGGCCCCACATAGCACCTTCGGAGGCGCATATTTTCTCACGCTGCAACACGCGCCCGTCCTTGGAAGCGATGAGATCTCAGGGGAACAGATCTCTCTGGTTGGTGCTTTTGTGGGTGTATCAATTTGGATTTACCCTCTGGTAAATAAACATAGACCCTGGCAAATAGGGTTTGGAAGACTAGTTTCCACTATAAATTGGTCATTTTCAGGATCATTCAAGGGAAGGTCGAACAATGTCGAACATGTGAAAATATGCACAGGACATGATTGAAACCACCAACCAGTCACTATGCTGCATTGCTCAGTTCTGTGATCTCCGTCGCGCATATCAGGCGCCAAATATGGCTTGATGGGTGCTTCAGGGCACAAACAGCCCAACAAGTGGCCTGGTAACATTTCAATGCAAGTTCTGTGGAGATCTACGCTATCTATCGGAATCTTACTGTTTGGCGGCGAAGACTGGGAGACTGGATGAGACTGGGAGGTACATTGGATCAACATTGCTGCTGACGTCAGGATCTGCAAAGGGATGCAGAATGGACTAGCGTCCTTCCGAACAGGGAAAGCATGAAAACGTATCGAATTGTCCATTGTGACGTTGAATACATATACACAGCTATGCGGCTATGCGCCAGTTTGATACACATCAGTAATAAGCCCGAGCAATCACGTGCACAGAATAAATGCAGAAAACAACATATTACCAACTTCTGTTTCACAACAGGTGCTCCAGGAAAGCATTACTGTAAATTATATTAAATTCAGATACTCAAAGAATTCTAACCACTCTCCCAAGTCATCGTCAAAAGGCGGCAAACTCCGGGCAGTTGGCACACCGTATGCCGTATGTGAGCTCTCTTGGGGAACTCGGGCCTGCTTCCAGTATCTTCCAGTGCTGCAGGATAGAGATCGCTTTGAAATAAGAACCCAATTTTCTTGGGAAGTTCTATTTTCCACTTCCTGATGGTGTCAGCCAGGGTTGAATTTCAAGGCATGTGCAACCATCTGGCGAATGTAAATATCAAACGAAATGATTCACCAACGGGAAACAAACCCATGTGCGGATAGGATAGTTCCTCCTTACCATCATTTACAGTTGGATTCGCCCATCAATTTCCATCATACTTCACCCAAGCATTCCCCAAACAGCGATATATCGGTTATGGTCGGTCTGGTTGACCAACTGCGGGGCCTACTGCCTCCCTCCGGTGGTTCACAACATGAGGGAATGCCAACGGAAAGCACAAGGAAAATTGCACACTGCAAGATGTGTATGGGTGCGTATTCAATTGGTTGCTGCCGATACGGATACAGCTACATGGACGCAAAGAATGATATGTATACAATATTATATGTTTAGAGGCACGGGGCATGGGTCAAATTCGATTTGAGTACAGTACCACAAATATTCAAAATATTCGATGGTGAATAGTGAATATGGCCAGTCATGTCCAGTCCATATAGCATGACATTGTGGCTGAGTATCTGTCAGAATGGAGGTCATCAGGTCCGGTCTTGCGAGGTAATCCTTGAACATGATAAATTGCAAAGCAACACAAAAACAAACCTGACAAGCACGATAAAGAGAAAAACACAAGTCATATGCGTTCACCTTTGCCATATCTTTGATCAGTCTGTTAAGTGGGATTTTAGATATATTTTCTATATATAAAGGTCAGCCGCTCGCTTGAGACTATACACTATATTTTATAATGTCAAACTGAATTCGGACACCGGCCACTCAACCGGAGCATCTGGTTTAAAATGATTTGAAATGTAGAGATTTATCGATCAAAACAGAAAACAGGAGAGAAACCACACGCACCACCACAACAACAGCAGCAACAGCAATAGTAACAACACACACACACACCCACCAACAACAACACACACACACACGTGGTGGAGAATGTGTTATATCATGAGTCATATGTCATAGGGATATGCTCATGGAGATTCATGGAGAATGTATCAGACTCTGCGGAGGAAGGCAAGTAGTCCCCTCTTTTTTGCGCGATGGCCTGGAGATGACTCAGCGGCTCAGCGGTTGGTGGTGGAACCAATCATCATGAAGGCCTGGTTCACTCCGATGTAGGGCATGAAGAGCGTCAGAAAGGGCATCAGCACAAACCAGGCAGGCCCAAGCCACTTCATGAGGCCCGTCACGGTCTCGTTCAGGATCAAATTGCTCAACATCAATTCCCACCATCCGCGCGTCACCAGGGCTTGGCTCCAAGTGAGCTTGGCCGCCTGCGCTGGTTTCAGCTTGGTCTTCTCCACCCACAAGTAGGTGCATGGATGGAGCACATCAAGGGCAATCCTGAGAGCCAGGGTCCCAACTCAAGTCATGAGCCTAGTTGGGGGTGCAGTTTCAGTAATTTTAAGCGGAAAGTAGCGGAATGTAGCGGATGCACGACCAGAGTTCAAAAGATGTTATATATATATATAATATAATATAATATATATATATATGGTTATATCATGTTATATCATGTAATATCATGTTATATCCCAATTTGTGGGGCTTGTAGCCGTTATTCCCATCTAAAACCTGATCTGCACATCCTTCTCAGCTTTGCAAGTTTTGACTCAGGCTGGAGAACTCTTCAGAGGTGCCGCCCCCAAGAAAAACTGAAATATAGTGTCAAATGGACTACAGTAATCCTCAAGTGCTTTTTTTTTGTGTGGTTGAAGGATGCTAAAGGCAACGCCGAGAGTCAAAGTCACAATGATCACAGCGGACAAGACTCCCATGTGCTTCCTGCCCTCGATCAGGTAGTACAGCCATGCGCCAATGGCACCCATGATCAAAAGGAGAGTCCAATACTTCACCAAGTTCTTGGACATCACACCACGATCACCACCTACCCAATAGCTGATGTCCTCACCATACATCTGGTAGCGCATGTAATCTTGGATTCCTTTGATGATGGAGTAGAGAAGCAAAGGCGCAGAGATGTAGAAAAGCTGAGTCGATCGCCAAATGTTATCCATGGACAGCCCAATCACTTCGTTGGCCTCCATACTGGTTGATAGTGTGTAGCGCAAGGATGACGCAATGATCATGCCCCAGCTCAAGATCTGCACAATCAGCATGAAGGAAAACATTCCTGTGGATGAGAAGTGGTAAGTCCGCTTCGCGAAGATACTGTAGTAGTTGAAACCAATCCTGAGATGGTCACTGACAACTAATTTCCTGTCTGCTGCACGCTGCTTGGGAATCCAATCTTGCTAAATTACCATCATCTCCGATCATCTCCAACCTATTGTGACTAACGATAGTGTCCATCAAGGCCCAACAGCATCTGCAGGAAACAACGTAATGTTGGGAGTTTGATGGATGTCCCAAGTGTCAACCGTCAACCGAACAGCGATCTTGAAGATCTTGCTTCCAAGGTTCCAAAAGAAAGCGGTCCAAAACCACAAGAAGTAGGTCAAGTTATCCATGGAGATCAACAAGCGGCCCCACCATCGCATCTCGTCTGGCCATATGCATGGTAACTTCACACCACAAACCTGTTTGGTGGTTAGATGTGGTTAGTCATCGAGAATCATCATCCCAAAAATGGGGGGTTCCATAGTCATGGGGATACCCCAATAGCAGGATGGTTTACAATGCAAAATCCGAAAATCATGTTATTTAGGGGTACTCCCATTAGGACACCTTCAAATAAAAACTCTCTCTCTCCATCGCCATTCCGTATGTTCAGCATGGGGCTATTTAAACTGAACATAAACATGCTTTTAATCACCGCTCGAAACTCTCTGGACCAACTTCAACAACTCCGTGAAGAGGAAAACCAGCAGCAGGACGAAAATCAAGGACAACACCCAGCTGATGAATTGGAGCGTCATTGTCAGGTAGGTCTCCAAAAGTTCGGGATTTTGCTTGAAGTACTCACCTCAGCTGCTGTGTTTCAGATGTTGTCCTGAAAAAAACATCAACATCCAACCATAATCGCAACATGTGCTAAACCCAATAGTATAGTAGTCTATCCCCAATCTTACTAGTAATGTACTGTTTCAAACCGGATTTGTTGGTGCATAAGCAAACTATATAAACATAATACACACATGTCATGCATATCTATAATGTCAACATCGTATTAATAACCCCCCCAAACATTAAAGGAGTCACAATAAAGTTAGGGCCAAACATTCAACTATCGTAAAAATCACCTATGTATTCACGAATGAATTGCCTAATTGAAAACGAATACATAAAGGGAACTTTCCAAAAAAAAAAATCACCTATGTATTCACGAATGAATTGCCTAATTGAAAACGAATACATAAAGGGAACTTTCCAAAAAAAAAAATCACCTATGTATTCACGAATGAATTGCCTAATTGAAAACGATTACATAAAGGGAACTTTCCAAAAAAAAAAACACCTATGTATTCACGAATGAATTGCCTAATTGAAAACGAATACTAAAGGGAAAAAACGGAAAAAAAACGGGAAAAAACAGTTGGCGTACTTTATTACGGGGGGGGTTTATTATTTTGAACCGGGAGTTGGCGTACTTTATTGTGGGGGGGTTTATTAACGCCATGTTGACATTAGTTGTAATATATCTATCTACCCATCTATCTACCTATCTATCTACCCATCTATCTACCTATTATCTATCTACCTATTATCTATCTAATCTACCTATCTACGTATCTGTATCTATTTGTCAAATTATCTATCCATCGTATCCTGTCCTGTCCTGTCCTCTCCTCTCCTATCTACCTATCTACCTATCGGATCTATCTCTACCATAGATCCATCTATCCATCCATCCAAATATCCATCCATCTATCCATCCATCCAGCTATCTATCAATCTATCAATCAATCTATCAATCTATCAATCTATCAATCTAGCTATCTATCTATCTATCTATCGATCTATCCATCAATCCCTCTATCTCTCTATCTCTCTATCTATCTATCTATCTATCTATCTATCTATCCATCCATATATCGATCTATCGATCTATCGATCTATCGATCTATCTATCTATCTAATCTATCTAATCTATCTAATCTATCTAATCTATCTAATCTATCTAATCTATCTAATCTATCTAATCTATCTATCTATCTATCTAATCTATCTAATCTATCTAATCTATCTAATCTATCTAATCTATCTAATCTATCTAATCTATCTAATCTATCTAATCTATCTATCTATCTATTTATCTATCTATCTATCTATCTGCAGAAATCAAAATTTGACCTCTTTGATATCTCACACATGAACTGCCCCAACAACAGTCGTGTCTTAAAAATGGTCTCGTCCAGCCACTTCTGGCCACCAATGCGAAGCTCTTTAACTTCTCCACCACGGGATTAATGGTTTGATCATACCTGGTGCGGTCCCAAACAGGGCGGAAAATCATGTGGCAAAATTCATGGTAAACTATGGGAAAAAACCGCTAAGGCTGATGACCAATTCCCAATTTCACCAGAACAGGGTGGCATAAAACAGAGGATCATCCTACGAATCGTAACTGGATGGTAGCCATGTAATATCTCTCATCATCAATGTATCATATATATATACATATACACACACATATATATATATACATAATATACATAATCATTAATATTATAATATATATATAATATACAATGTAATAATATATATATATATATATGTACACATGGAACGACACACGAAAGTCACTGGAAAGTAGGGACAGTCTATGGATTTCGGATCGGCTTCACCAACTGCATTGCAAGATACCATTCCTGATCGACCAGGCCCCACTTCACCACAGCCCACTGGGTGTCCGTCTTGCCGATCATCCGGAAGAGCGAGGCTAGGAAGCAAAAGAAGAAGATCAGGGTGAACCATACCATGTAGACACCTGGATGCCGCAAGGAAATGTGGGAAAACTGCGGAAATTGTGGGTTGATTATCAGCACAATTGGGACTTAACTGTAACCACAACAATGAGGAAATGATAGAAAACTAAAATGATGATCAGATGATGATGAGTGAATTGGTTTCATAGGAACATCTACGGGAAACAATGGATTTTACGCGCATTTTTTCGCCTAAATATCAGTGTTTACTGCAGATTTTCCATGATTTTCCCTTCCACGATTTCTGGGAGGATGCGTCTGCAAAATTGGTGATTCACTCTGGAACTTGATGATTGGGCACCCAAATTGTCCTGCTGGTTGAGCCATGTTGAGCTACCCATCCTGTGAAATTCATATGGGAAATTGATAGAAATTCACAAGCCAAACCTGGATATATCAGATGGGAATTCAGCAAAGACCAAGCAACCCCCATGCTACATCATTGGGAAATTCACGCCAAACTGTGTTGAACATTCAGATTAGCAACATTCAAGCAATCTGATCTTTTTATCCAAATGTGGTTGCACTCGTGAAAGGAATTTGTCCAAAAGACTAGCCTGACTCTCATTTGCAATACCCTACGCCCGAACCACCAACTGCAAAAACTGGTTCAGATATGTTCACATTGTGTTCAGACCGTATAATGGTCTGGAAAATTGCGACGCAATGCGACGCATGTGAGAAAAACGCATTGGACAGTTGGGGTCTTTCGTCAGCATTCCCTGCCTTTGTGGCAGCTGAAGAAGGTCTGCAAGGACAACACCACACCTCCCTCAGCCCATCGCTGCACGGCAGCCAAGTAATCCACAGGATTCTTGGCCATGCCGAAGGACAAACGGCGATTGATGAATTGGGATCGCCTGCCTCGAAGGACTTGCTGAAGACTACTGGCAGTGTCTTCCACCTTGCAGCTCTCATGGAATGTTCTGCGTTCGACATACTCCTGACTCTTGCGCTTGCTCTCCACGTCACGGACGCGCCTCCTCTCTTTCTCCCACACCAAATCTCCAGGAGGGTGACGAATCATCCATGTGCCATTTGTTCCACAAGAACTCACACCTCCGCAGCAATTTCGAATCATGCAATTCAAGCGGAAGAATTGGGCGTTGTTGTTATCCAGGTAATCCAACTTGTCCTGCATCTCGTGGAAGAACTGCGGGCACTGAGTGAAGCCAACATAAGGGTTCAGCTCCATGTCATCGTCAAAGAAGTAGGGGATTGTGGTGTGGAAGAAATCGGTCTGGAACTGATGACGAGCATCGCAAATGCTGTAGAGGCAAGGGTAGTTGTCCCGCTCATCATTGTACATGTTCTCAGGCCTGTCGGCGTACAAGCACAAATAGTTCTCGGAGAAATTCAATCCTCCTGCTTTGCCGCGACTGGTTCTGAGAGGAACGTTGTTCATGAAGGCGTCATCATCCTCCATGCCGTACACCATCTCCTTAGCATTTGAGCGAAGTTTCAGCCAATCCTTGTTCTCCGCATTCACTGGGACCTTGTAGTACCAAGTTCCTGGCGCAACATGCTGGGCCTTGATGGTTCTCTCATCTTCAATGGGTTTGGCTCGGGCCAGGTAGTGCATTCGCAGGGCCAAGCTGTTTCGATCTTTGGGCTCCCAATCAGCCACGTCATCACCTTGAGAAGGAAGTAACTCGCAGTGCAACATGGGGATTGCACCTTAATCCCTTAAATCTAGGCTTTTGGGGACCAGAGCTTTAGAATATTTAGAATAATATGGAATAACAATGTCTGAAGAACTCAAATGGCAAAGCGTGCACCCAACTTTGACCCAAACATGACTCCACCATCCGAGCGCCCAAGCGGAACTGGATGCTTTTACTGCCTTGACACAGTTCAGTTGGTTCACATACCTTCATGTATGCCGGTACTCCAACATGGCCATGATCACCCTATATTGTAGATTGTAGATGACTTCCCTTCTCTTGCACCTGAAAAACTCCGTTTTCGCCGGATTAGACAGGATTCGATGATGCAAGAATAGCTTCAATCCTGTTCAAACATTGGGAGCTGCAACTGAGGCACGGTGCATGTCCTTCTTCTCCTCCTTTTTGCTCTTCAGATCCTCCTCCAACACCGTCAGGGCCTGCTCCAAAGGCTCAAGGGAGGCGGGAGACATGGAGCCCCAGCCGCCTTCCGTGCGGAGTTTCTTCAAGGAGCTCTTGCCACACATTCCTAGGTCCATGTCTGACAGCCGCAAGGATTTCTAGGAAAAACAGGACTCAGCATCAAGCAAAAGCTCTATACAAATGATATAAATATTGTATACGTAAATTCATCTGCATGGGTATGCAACTTAATCATATTAATGAAATCTATATATCATATCGACCTATGTGAACGTATATCAATATGTCTATCTATCTATCTAAATTTCTATCTATCTGTCTGTCTGTCTATCTGTCTATCTGTCTATCTGTCTATCTGTCTATCTGTCTATCTGTCTATCTGTCTATCTGTCTATCTGTCTATCTGTCTATCTGTCTACCTGTCTATCTGTCTATCTGTCTATCTATCTATCTATCTGTCTATCTATCTATCTGTCTATCTATCTATCTATCCATCCATCTATCTATCTATCTATCTATCTGTATTTGCATATATACATATAGATGTGTGTTCGTATACTCGTGCAGACAAATATGTAAGATTATGAAAGCATGAGGGCCATGAGGGGCGTTTCAACTGCAATATTTGTACGTAGATAAAAACTCTACCGGCTGCTGGAGCAACTTGCAGCCTAGATTCTGAACATGTATTGTGGCTCCACATCCTCGCCCTTAGCCCCGTCTTTCACTTTGGCCAAATCCATCTTCTTCGTCTCCTCTACCCATGTTTGGAAAAACTTGCTGACGTTCTCCTCATAAGTCACACCACCAAAATTTGGGATGCGATCAATGACGGCTGCCAGCTTCATGAACATCATCTTCTGCTCGTTTCGGTGACCCTCATCAACGAAGGTCACATGATAGCGGCAACGGCAATCCTTTGGCATGCAACCAATGGCTCCCACCACGTTTCTCAGCACCACACACTTGTTCTCTCCCGCACTGGGGATACAAACTGTGATGTAGCGTAGGTTTGCCGTGAGCTCAGGATCATATCTTCGGAAGTGAGGGTACGGAGAGAACACTCCTGGACAAAGCATGACAGCTTTGACACCGAAACCGATCAGCAAGACATAGCAAAAGAGCCACACCGGCGCAGTCTGGTTCTTCTCATAGCCCACATAGCCGACCAAAGAAGTCTGGTTGATGTAGCCATCCTTAGGAGATTCATATCGGATTTATACATAATTATTTATTTATATATATATATATACATATCTATCTTACTTTTAGATTCTTTTAGACAAATCATATCAAATCATGACACATCATGACAAATCCACATAGGAACTTGGCGTATCTTGACGCGTCTTGCTCAAAAGCTTTCTGAGAATTGGCCTGAAATGAACACACCGTGCATCATTGTTCATCTAGTCTCCCAAATCTCCAGCTGTTCCCGAACCTGTCCTCCATTCACCAGCTTTGTTGATAAAGATGCCATGAGATTCCCATAGCCGGCCGCTAGAATTCATCTATCCTCCCCTTTGGGCCTGGTAGTTAGCCTGCAATCACGATCAAACAAAAAGAGGTTTTGGCCAAGCAACTTCAGTGCAATTTGCCATTGGGTACTGCTCTGACTGACATGCAAAAGCACATCTCCCAGAGACGGCCACGCATCGATCATTGAAGGGTGGTGGCGCTGCCTGTTGACCAGGTTTGAAGCGGCTGAAGGATCCCTCATAGAGGGTGCTGTTCACAGCACAAGCCACCAGGTAGAGAGGACCCTGACAGGGTTTCATGCATGTCGCCTGTCCATTTTTTTTCAAAATATATAGGTTTTTGGGTTATGTATCCCTCAATATTATTCAATATTATAGGTTTGGGTTTATCATCCCCCAACCAACGAAATAGATTGAAATAGCAGAACCGTAGAACCCCCTTCCTGACGGCCATAGCACCAGCCAGGGTCAATCTCCAAGCGGTTCTGCTGATTGAGATTCATGGCATGAGCTGAAGCAGCATCAGTGACGGGGGCCAACTCCTCATCATAGGAGTCGGGATCCTCCTTGACCAATGGTTTGTTGTCCTTACCAACTGCCTCTGGAGGTTGGGTCATGCCATAGTTGTGCTTGTAGAGCTTGGTCCATTTGCCCCGACTCTCCCGGGAGGATTGGAAGATGAAGACGCGTGGCTGGCTGAAGACATCGGTTCCCGACGGAGCGCTGGAGGCACTGACTGTGACATGGAAGCGGGGAAGAGATGTGTAGATCATAGGGCCCTTGCCAGCCGCAGCGCTGCCACTGGTGTCGGGACCAAGACCTGGTATGCTCCCAATGCCTGGAATGCCCGCAGGAGCATCTGGATCTGGATCCAAGCCTGGCAATCCCGATGGCAAGCCTCCCATGCCAGGAATCTGCAGCCTGCGCCTCATGTCATCTTCGGTGCGGGGGTCATACAAACACTTGTGACAATTCCACTGCTTGAACTTTTCGGTGGCCGTGTCACATTTTCCATCCAAACCGCCGTTCAAGCACTCCCTCATCTCAATGGACCCTTGGAAGTTGGCAGAGGGAATCTCCCTGCCGGCAATGGAGGTCTTGGTCATCTCAATGGTGCTGTCCGCGGTGCAACCCTCGAGCAGGTCGGAGTTGATCACCGAGTCACAAGTCCATCCGCAAACACCACCTGTGCACAAGTCCGAAAGCGCTGAAAAGCATCAATGCAAATGACCTGAAACAAAATGTAAAACAAAGGGAGGTCAAAAAATTATAGAAAGATAGGCATGAGCCAATCATAATTCCGCTGCGTAAAAAAACAGAAACCCATTGTTTTGGAAGGTCTTGGGTCAAGAGCCTAGCAGTGACTCCGATCCTCACACCTGCAGTAGCACAGTGAGAACCAAGGTCTGAATCTTCCAACCTCAGCACCAAGGAAGGGATCAACCCCAAAAAAACCGAACGCTGGGAAGGATTTGTTCAACACCTATATAGGCCATAGACCATTCACAATTGGAATTTGCAAGCGTGAAAAACTTTCTAGGGATTATATGGGATTATGAGATTGCTATTGGGAAAACCATCTTGGCCCAATGAATCCTCAAATTTTCAAAGCTGCCATACCCTCAGTTACTGGTATCTTGGAAATGACGATATTGGACCATGTTGATATTCGGTCCGGCCGGTCCCTACCGGAATAAACTGTATGGCCCATATGGCAATTCAACATAAAAACCACCGCTAGGCTATGGAGGATCAACATGTTCATCCATTTTACATAAATGACCTAGAATCCTAGAAAAAAAGAGCGTTTTCATCAATTGTCCATATATGATGCTAGATTACCGAAGGGAAGTGTCGAACATATATGTTAACCCGTAGCGAATCCCCCCCATTACCTGTAAAGTCTTTCCTGGCAGCAATCGACAGGCCTCTTTCCATGGCTCATCTACTAAGATATACCAAGCTTCACCCGGTATCAGGGTTGCTCCCAACACCCGAGAGAACGTGGCTAGACTTAAGTAAAGAGGTAGAATCATCGATTTCCAAGCCTGGTGACCTAATAGATTGGAGCAAACCTGAGTATTTTCATGCTATGTTTAAATCAATTTAATCTATTTTTGCCCAGCAGCTCAGTCATTTGCTCCAATTCCGCAAAGCTGGAAGGATTCCACACCACGCAGGCCAGGACATATTGGCCCGAGGTGGTCTCACTAATAGAGTTGGGTGTGGCAGGAGGCACGATGCAGGTGTCCGTGGTGTAGGTGTAGGCATGCCCGGCCTTGCACGGAAAGTGGCCCAAGATGGATCAAAATAGCCCAAAACAAACAGCAAATGGGGTTGATTTTGTTGGGATGCTGAGGCCATGAAAATAGGAGAACACCAACTTTGAACTGTTGACCCACTTCAACTCAAAATCATTTGGTGCTTGTGAGAACAAGGAATGCAAGGAATGTGGGCATCCGCCAGTTCATCAGTTTTTGCGGGGCATGAGTCGGCTTGAACGACAGAAGTGAAGAATATCAGTGACAATTTCGCTCACGCCTTCACCCCAGAAGCAAACCATGTTTTCTACTTTCTACTGTGGCTTCGGCACTTCTGGCACACGCTGGCCCAACTATAGTAAATACAAATAGCTCCCTTCATCAAATCCTCCCAGGGCACCTTCTACTACAACTTGCAGACTCCAGTTTTCAAAAAAAGTGAAGGTGTCCTAAACTAGGGGTAGCCCTATATAATCCATTTGGTTCTCGGATTTTCCATTATAAACTTTATTTAAACCATCCAGCTATGGGGGTACCCCCATGACTATGGAAACCCCCAAGTAGTGTCCCCGCCTTTGATGTCCTTGCCCTCCAGAAGGGCTGCGGATAGGCGTGGCGCCGATCCGCCACCACCCACCAGTCGTTGAAGTCCGCCGAGGCCAGCAACACGGGGTACACCGTGTGGACGTAGCCTGGTGGGTGGGTGTGGAAAACAGCGTTTCTGGGCCAACGATCTTAGAGATGCTCCTTTAAAATCTTGTTTATACATCCTTGATCATCTTGTAAGAGAATAATTAGCTACTTTTTCAGCAAATCTGCTGGTGCTTGGGGCGTCTACCAACCGTAGGCTGATGGACAGGATAGGAAAACAGGCAGCAGCACCCAGGCCGTTGCTCAGGGGAGCAGCATTACAGACCTCCAACCGTAGCTTTGAATCATGGGCTATGCATTCATGTTATATCGTGTTATATCACTCGATGTTTTTCTGGACGTAGCCTGCGCTTGGATGGTCATGGTGTCGTTAAGAAGGGCTGTTTGGAACTGATGACCACAGCTGTACTTGGATGTTGAGCTGCGTGCATGTAGGTTTTACGATCGCTTATGATATCTTATGATATCTTCTGTATGTATGCACATGATTGCACATGCATATGGAATCAAATGGAATCAAATGGAATCAAATGGAATCACATGGAATCATATGGAATCAAATGGAATCATATGGAATCATATATTATATGATACATGCATGGATCGAAGAACAAGCATTAATCATTAATCCTTGTCCGAAAATGAAAATGACGTCTTCTTCCCACTTCATAGCTCCTAACCCTGGAGCATTGCTGCACTGCAAGCCTTTTGCCAGGATGGAGTCATTCAGAGTCAAGCTCACCCTGAAATTCATCTCGTTGGTACGATACCCACGCCAGGAGGAGCAAGAGAAGTTGCAACTGTCTGACTGCATCCTGATGCACAGAAGGAAGTTCAGCTGATATTACTCACCAACCACATCACAACACACAACTGGGATTAACAACAAATGTTGAAACATGTTGAAACCACCAAGAAGTACCAAATATATCCAAACATGGTTTTCGTATGTTTTCGTCGCCACTTTGCGTTAGACATGGCCGTCTTCAGCGGAGTTTCGGAATGGGGGACATCTCAATGGGATAGGGCACCTCAGAAGATTGCGGCAGGCAAGGCAACCATAAGATCACAATAGATCACATATTATCTGAGAATATCTGAGATATGATGTGATTTATTGTAATTGTGCGTTCTATTATAGAACTATTCAATATTATTCAATGGATTCTGCACTGTTTTTTTGTGATCTAGAATCGCGAGCAATTTCCAAGCAAGGAGGTAACTTCATATTCCTCTTAGGGTCCAGATGAACTTTGGGCCGAGGAGATGGCAATGTATGGCCATTTTGAAAGGGATAATGCCGATTGATCAATGGATTTATATATGGATTTATGGTACCTTATTTTCAGACAAAACCATTTATGAATTTATTCGCTTGATATTCATCGGACCCGAGACCCCGGCCGTTTTAACTGCCACTCCACATAAATTCACGTCACTTGGACAGCTGGCTGGCTGTCAGGGGAGGCGGTGTTCAATGCCAAGCGGCTGGCGAATCCTCTGCCAGTTTCTGTCCACCAACAGCTGCGATGGAGGGCCACTTGGGGTACTGTTCATGCCAATACCTTCAGCGAAAAACAGCCGTGGGTTGGTGAAACCCCATGTTTCACAGTGTTTCACCACAGCCGAGCCCATCAAGTATGGAGTCAAGACTGACAGTCCCCCAAAACCCTAAAATAGTATGTAATTAGTTGATAATACTATTAAGTACTATCAGTATCTATCAGTATTAACCCCTTAAATATACATGTTTTAATTAGTATTTACATTAAGTATCAGTATATGACAGTATCTATCTCATCCTCCAGGATGCACCCGCCAAGTGGCTGTGTTGGCATGGGGTTCGTCACCAGCCACTTGGTCCACAATGGGAATACCACCTGTATTCAGCGGCAGCTAGCTGGTCCAAGTGAGAGAGTACCCTCTGGAAAGCAAACATGGCAATTGGACATCCCCCATAAATAGCTTGGTTTAATGGACAAATCATGTAAGATCATGTAAGTATAAAGTATAAATACATAAATGGTGAACTGTCCATCGCCATATTTGTTTCCTGGAGGGCAATTCATGGTTGAGATCAAGCAAGATATAAATTACTGCTCGGGGTGGAAATGACCAAGAACAAATGATGGAGGCATTGGAGTTGTTATCCCCTCCGGTCCCCTTAAACGCCTGGAATTCTTGAGTCCCAAAGCTGGAGACGTGTCACACCCATTCCCAGTAACGAAAAAGTGTGATCATCCCAGTCTGAGATATGGAACACTAAAAATCCAGCAAACAGCTGATACAACCAGTGAACCAGAGTTATAGTAGGTTCTACTATAGTACCAATACATAGTTACAGTAGGTTATAGAAAACCCGTAATATAGATAGATAGATAGATAGATAGATAGATAGCTAGCTAGCTAGATAGATAGATAGATAGATCGATAGATTAGATAGATTAGATAGATTAGATAGATTAGATAGATTAGATAGATTAGATAGATTAGATAGATTAGATAGATTAGATAGATTAGATAGATTAGATAGATTAGATAGATTAGATAGATTAGATAGATTAGATAGATTAGATAGATTAGATAGATTAGATAGATTAGATAGATTAGATAGATTAGATAGATTAGATAGATTAGATAGATTAGATAGATTAGATAGATTAGATAGATTAGATAGATTAGATAGATTAGATAGATTAGATAGATTAGATAGATAGATAGATAGATAGATAGATAGATAGATAGATAGATAGATAGATAGATAGATAGATAGATAGATAGATAGATAGATAGAGTAGTACCTAATATAGTTATAGTATGTCGTTATAGTAGGTTCTAAGGCTCATGCGGCAAATCAAATATGTAGGGCTGTCTGTTTCATCCCATCTCTGCCAGGCAGCCATGAAGATCAAGAACTGGCAAACGTAGCAAACATGACAACAACAGGCCGCGGTCAAAGGAGGACGACAGCCACCTGAGTGGGACATTTGTGGGACACCTGGGGATGATTTCTGTGGTGTGATTTTTGTTGGCGGTAAGTAGGTATGAACCAATTAGCGACAAGTAGGATTCGGATTCATAAGACTCATCATATTGGGGCCGTAATGCCGCAGTGCTTCGCCGATACATTCTGTGCAAGGATTCCTGAAGCATCTGATACAGAGCACTTGTCAGTCACAGGGCGTCCGGGTTTTCAGCTTCCTTCACAGGATGGGATTCTCCAATTCGCCAGCATCTCACGGTCCAAATCGGTCCAAACAAGATATGTAAATATGTTGAAGAAAATTAAGAACATGATGATACCCTTGATACCCTTGATACCCTCCTCCGAATGAATATCTTAAGGTGACTTTTCTGCATAGCACAGGAACATGATTAACGGCTCGTTGCCATCAAGATCTCCAGGCCATTTCTGTGATCTATGGAGTGCCCAAATATGGGAACATGGAAACAATGCCAAACGCCAAAACGCATCGGTGACGCGGTGCTTCCAAGCACCTTCATGTTTAATACCCACTGACACTACCATGGTTATCACTTGAAGATGTTTTTTCCCCCTCGCCTTCACAACCCATTTATTGTTGCTGGGGCCAGTGGGGGGCCAAAGACAATCTGTGCCCATTTCTGGTGGTCCAATCCCTAGATTGTGTTGGGTGATTCTCAGCTGGCAGCAGCTAGCAATGGAAGATCCGCTTCCGTTTTCCTGCTGTTAAAGGGAGTTCTTCAAAACCCATCTATTAATCAACCAATGGAAAAAGGACATTCAGGTTGTAGTCTGTCACATCTGCAACTGGGAAGAAAAATCCACGGTCTCGATTGATGGAGTTTAGAGTCTTCTTGAAAATATCTAGTTCCGAGGCACTGTTTTTATTTCACAGTCATCCCAGGAAATGATACACATATCATGCAAAATATATCTCAAACATTCTGAACCCACTAAACACGTTACTTAGTTCCCTCCTGAAGTCAAACATGGCATGTCGGACAATCTACCATGAAATTATACCATTAATCTATACAACCTTACCATAACTTGCCCCATTTCTAGGTGTAAAAACCATTAATGGGCGACATCATTATACCATTTACGCTTATTGTACCATATGATCTACCATGATTTTTCTTTGGATTATACCATTCTTATATAGTAGATTATATGATATTATAGTGTATTATACCATTTTAATCTACAATTAATCTACCATATACCATTATTGTACCATAAATCTACTTACCCCATGAAAACAACCCACATTTCCAGAGGGTCATCTATGGGCGCGAGCTACGAGGCTGCTTGAGATTCACCAAGGTGTGGTCGATCGTCTCCTGCGGAAACTCATGGGGAAAACATGTGGTTTGATCATGTTTCCCATCATGTTTTTCTTTTTATGGTTGTGTAAGCATGTTTGATCATGTTTGATAAAATGCTGGATATGTTTTTTATTGTTTAATACATAAGGGTTTAAAGTAATGTTTTTTCTTGTATATTAATGGGATGTTAACTACGGTGAAACTATATGGTTTATGGATTATATATATATATATATGTCTACTTAATGAAATATGAATAAAGATAATAAAGTATTAATGGGACGATTAAGGGATATACCCTGTGGTCATCATAACATGGCAAGCTGGGAAATGCCCGAACTAGCCTCCAGGAGGTTTTGTTCGCTGGGAAAACGATCGAACTAACTGGTGGGTTCTCCAGTGGTTCACATGTTTGATTAATGGAAGGTAGCTTCACTTCACCAAACATATCCCTTTCTTGCAATTGATATTTTAATCTGGTTGGTGGTATACCTACCCCTCTGAAAAATATGAGTCAGTTGGGGTTACTATTCCCAATATATGGAAAAAGTAAAAAATCCAAACCACCAACCAGTAATGTTCCTGTCATACTTAGGGATTGTTCCCAAGGCTTGAGCGGCAATGGCCGGTGGCTTAGGGATTGTCTGCCA